CACGAACACAAACTTACTCTTCCAGCCATGGATGGACGTAGGAAGGTCAGTGAAGGTCCTCTTGTTCTTCACCTGCTGAAGGTTCGCATACCCGGCACAATTCTTGTGGCTGCCTCGTCCAATCTGGTACAGGTTCATGAAGAGCGTCGTAGTCGGCGTAAAACCCAACTCATCACAACGTAGCAGGAACCCAACGATCAGCGAGTAAGAATTCAGAGTCAACAGAGCCGGAGGAAGCTCCACCATATCTAGGTACTCCGTGATGAACGGATGAAGAGGGAACCTCAGCCCCTTAGCAAAGCTCATAGGATACACCCCAAAGTAATCCAGAGGAGGACGAAGTACGTGGTCCGTCGGCTTGGGGGACCTGACCCTGCCAAACGGCCTGACGTACATCTGGGCAACCAGGTACTCAGCCGCGCAGCTCTCCGGCCTGATGATGAAGACGTTGGTGAGATCCAAGTAGGAGAAAGCCGGTCCCTTCTTTGGCCGACGCCTTCTCTTCGGGGCAGTCCCTTTAACGGCAGAAACCGGCTTCGGGCAAGGAATGGCGGCCGAAGTAGATGCTCCATCTATGGCGCGGGAGATGCCTACGTCCTCGCCCTCAGATGATGAGGCAACCTCCTCGTCCTCACTTGTATCGTCCTCTGGCTCCCCCGATTTGAAGGAGCTCAAATCCTCCATCTCCTCGTAGAACTCTTCCACCACTCCATAATCCAGAGACTTGACAGAGGCCTCGTTGTCATACGGGTAGTACTCTTCGTCCAAGGTCTTCATCTTAACAGCTAACGGAGCCTTAAGGGGAACTACTTTGGATTTAAGGTTGGTTTTTGACTAACATTAGATCAAGGCCTAAGGAAGCAAAACATGCAAGAAATCGGAGAAAAGTTTGATGAACTCACCTGTGAAGTTTTGAAGAACGGAAGAAGACTCGAACAAGCCTTTATCTCTCTAGAAATTTGGGCAGCGCTTCGTTATCTCAGAAAGTCAGAATGCAATAGGGAGTTCCTTCAGAAGGAGGGGGGGGGGGGTATTTATAGAGCGCTTCGTTATCTCAGAATGCAATAGTGAGTTCCTTCGGAAGGAGGGGGGTATTTATAGACCTCCCCCAACGGTCACTACACGTGGCACTCCCCCATTGACCACATGAACGGCCACCACTCCAAAGGCCCAATAAGCTGCCACCGGTTCAGAAGATGGGCAAGGCCCACTTCCAGCAGTACCAATCCACTCCCAACGTACCAGCACACACATCCATAATGGCCAAGGCATTCAACGACCACACCAAGAAGAAATATCTGCCTCCACAAGGCACGACTACATCAGCCCTAGCAACCAATAATCATTTCAACGGCTGGTCACACCACAAAGTGCGCCCATATCGGCTTAACACGCTGCCAACAACAGGGCCCCTTCAACGGCCACAATAGCAAAGCAAAAAACAACCCAACAACCATCAGCTTTATATAAAACCCTGATGATAACTTCTTGAAAGCAACCTGCGTCCAAGGGTTCTCCCACAGGGTTACCTTGGTCAGAAATTGCCAAGGGATTGGATTCAGGGGAATACAAGAATCCCGCTTCGACTTAGGGTTACACCTTACTCCTTCACCCCTCGCTCACTCTTCGGCCTGAAGCAGTGGGGGACTGGGGGACTACACCGGCCTCTGGAATGCAAGAAAGGACAAAATCAAAAAATCCAAAAACACACAAGTCCACAACTACAACAATAGTATGCCATATACGATAGTATGCACCATAATGGTGCACCCTCGGCCGCAACAAGGTCAGCAAACAAAGAAGTATAACTCCTCCCAAAATGTGACGTGTGTCGTCCCTTGACGCGCGCCACTCAACGGCTTTGAGATCACGTACTCCACTCTCGGCCAAGATGAGAAAACGGGAACAGAACGCCCTCGGGTCATCATCGTCCATAAGATCAAAATACGCACTCCTTCTGAGTCAGCGCTGTTATCGTCCTCAAAGATGGACACCAAACTATGAATATCACTGCTTCGGCCTGAAGCACAAAAGCAATCATGAGGCTTCCTCGGCCAAGACACCAAAAGCAACCGCCAACGACCAGAAAGAAGAAACATCACCCGCATTGGCTATTCAAATCAAGAGCACATATCGGCCACTCAGCCAGGACACTCATCGTCCTCAAATAAACAAACTTACCCCATCAGAGGAACATCAGTCTTCTTCGTCCACAGTGAAGGGCATACAACGGCCAACACAAAGAACCAAAACAGGAAATGGCCACAACGGCCAGAAGACATCAAGACTATGAAATCTACTCTCCCTCACTTCGTCTACATCTCAGCTCAGAAGAATAAGAGGCATAGATGTCATCCAGTGGGGCCTTCGTCGGCCAGATGGCCCTCCATCGGCCAGAAAGATATCAACTCAAAACACGGTCCAGAAGCCAGGAGAACCGGGTGTCCCTGTCGGCCATGGCTCCGTCGACCACAGAGAGCTCCCAGAACCGGACTTCACACTTAGTTACTTCTACATATTTTGTACTCAGCCCAATAGTGGCCCAATTGTAATCTGCCTCCCAAGCCCAAGACTTGGGAGCCCAACCCTAATTTCCTCTATAAATACTCCCCTTGGGAGTAGTTGTAGGGGGTTCACAAATCATTTATTGCAAATATTTATTGCACTTCTCTCTCTAGCTCTCACTTCTCTCTAGGAGTTAATACTCTATCAGCAGGCGTTCGAGTTTGATTTGACCGAAGTGAACCGGAATAGGAAAAGGTCTAATTAAACCGAGCCAAATGAAAAATATCAAGAAAACCTCAACATATTTTATAAATTAGCAAATCAAAGGAACCAGATCGAATCAAATAAAACCATATTTTTAGTTTTTGGGAAAAACCACCCAATTGATTCCAAATCGAAAAGAACTAAAAAATGGATAACTTAAATTGAGATTGAATTATCCACATCTAACTTCTAAATCGGAATTACGTTTTTTTTATCCCGGTTGGTCAAGTTCACGAATGTTATTGAGCTTATTGTGATAGTGTAATTTTTCTCAATATGATGTGTGATGCTAGTTGCACTCCGTTGAAATAATGAAAGTGTAATGTAAAAGTGCCTGGAGGAAGCATTGCACATTCGAGATTTGCGATTGCACTTAGTATGACAGAAGACTCGACATGCAACATAAAACATGGTAGTCCATTGGCTAAACTGATAGAGTTATCCAAGTTGATTATATGGGAAGAAGCAATGATAACACATTGACACTGTATCAAAACTCTTGATCGGATTATGAGAAATGTACTTCACTACTCTAATTAGTGTGATGCGAGCTTGCCTTTTGGTGGAAAGACAATTGTATTTGGTGGTGACTTTAGACAGATACTTCCTGTGATACCGAAAGGCACGAGATAAGATATTGTGCATGCAATACTAAAAATCTATGTGGTCATACTATAACACAGTGAGACTAACTAAAACATGAGGCTCGCAAGGATGACCGGTGAGCCGGATGGATCAACTATCCAATGAGATGATGCACATAGAAAATTACAGTGAAAAATTTCTTATTCCTCGACTTACTTTGAGACCGTTGGACATTACTCTCTCGTTCACTTTTCAACGCACACCGTTTCCGTTAATAATTAGCTACGCAATGACCATTAATAATAAGAACGAGTGATAGTCATTTGAAAATGTTGGCATCTTCCTCTGTCGGCCTATTTTTACGCATAGACAGACGACAGTTGCATTTGACAGTCTCGAAAGTAATAAGTCTATTTGAGTTAATGTTTGTTATATGTGACGAAGAAGGGAACCAACGAAGTTAGCGTTGAATGTTATATACAAAGAAATTTATAGTACTATTATAGTTTCCCATGACAATTTGTGTTACATCCAGGCATAACTATTTTATGTTATGGCATCATAGTTTATATTTAACTTTGAGAATTATTTTTTAATCTCCTATTAAATATAAACTCTTATTTTAATTTGTCTTTCACTTTTGTGTTTTCAGTGTTAGCCTTATTCACTATGAAGTTCTTTTACTTTATATATATCCACCTAAACTCTTATGTACATACTTCACTTCTGCTGGATTAACTAGTACTTTAATAAATTAGCAAGTTCAAACTGAATTAAATCGAATCAAATCAAAACATAGTTTCACTTTTGGTAATAATTCACCCAATAATAATTGGAGAAAAATGAAAGATTGGTGTAGGTGGACCGATCGTCTTCTCTAACGAAACCCATCTGTTTTCAAACGAAACAAACAACCACAGAAATTCAAAACAGTAGAATCTAGTCTGATAGTCCTCAATCACAAAGAAACATCTTCCAACTTTCTTCTCCAGCACCAAGTAACCGGATAAAAACCTGACTACTCCCGTGATGCTTCACGGTATCTCGGTGATTGACTGATTGAATTTTCTGCGTGCTTTAGTCGTGTGGCCTGAATACATTCGAAGTACATTAAGACATTTGTGTGCTCCTCGATAGTCACTCAACACAATACTTAATGTTGAGACTATTTCTAAACCAAAGTAATTAGACGAGTTGCCATTTGCACGTATAAATTCTTGTTAGAGGTATTACCCAAGCGTACAAATCAGAAATCAACCACTTTGATACTTTGATTCTTGCAGATTAATTGATACCATATATTTACATCAATTTGTTTGATATCTCTTCATACGTCCTTCAAGAGCTCAAGTAGTGAATTACTAGTGGCCTAAATGCCTAATGGTGTGGCACAAACTCACTTTATGTGCTACATTGGTTCACATACCTAGTCACCAAGGGTAACATTAGGGATGGACCGAGCTCAGGTCCAGGTCGGCATTGGACGGGACTGGGTTTGGGATTTGGAGGCCCGGTACCGACCCGAGTAGGTTCCGAGACCCGGCCGAGTCGGGCTAATATATATAAATATATATATATATATATATATATATATATATATATATATATATATATATATATATATATATATATATATATAGGTTTTGGTTCAAATAAGAACATGATCTTAGGAGAGAAATGAGAACGAATCTTGACCGTTTGATTTGCTTTAGGTGAAATTCAATGTGCATTAGATGAAACTGTAATGTGCATTACGTGAAATTGAAATGTGCAACACAAAGCGTATGATATAATGTCATTAAGTGAAGCTGAATTGTGCATTAGGTGAAATTGAAACGTGCACTAGGTGAAACTGAAATGTGCAGAATAAAAGGTACGATGTGATGTTATTTTTGTACATTTTATTCCGCACATTTCAGTTTCACCTAATGCACAATTGAATTTAAATTTTTATTCTGCACATTTCAGTATCATGTAATACACATTTCAGTTTCATCAAATGCACATTTCTATTCCACATAATACAATCCAACGGTCCAGATTCATTTTTATTTCTCTCCTGGGAGTCCGTTCTTACCGGAACCGCTCCCTATATATATATATATATATATATATATATAGATAGATAGATATATATATATAGATATATATAGATATATATAGAATAAAGATCAAATGAGAACAATGCTTAACGTGAGAACGTGAGAACACCACATTTACCCCAACGTGTTGCACAACGAAGCTTGTATATTGCACATTTTCATATTTTCACAATATTTACCAAAATGCCACCGTATTATTTAATATAGGCTTAATTCGAACAAATTGAAAATGTGCAATAGAATAGCTCCATTGTGCACAACGTTGATTTAAATGTGACCGTTCTCACGTTCTCACATTAAGCACCGTTCTCACTAGAACCGCACCCTATATATATACATATGTATATGTATATATATATATATGTGTGTGTGTGTATATGTATATGTATATATATATATGTATATATATGTGTGTGTGTGTATATACATATATGTAGGAAAATCGCATATATAGTCCCTCATAGGGGTGGATTCGGGCCGGGCCGGGGCCGGGTCCGAGTGGGTCCTAGGCCCGGGTGGGCTGGCGGTTCAGGATTGGTGGACCCGGGACTGGCCCGGGTAGCCACCGGTTCCGGGCCGGGCCTCCGGTTTGGGTGTTATTATTTTTTTTTTGCTTCCCTACCCCCCCCCCCCCCCCCGTCACCCCCCCACCCTCCCAAACCCCTCCTAACCATCAAGCCCAACCCGGGTGGAACCTCAAAAATTAAAAAAAAAAAGCAATTTGACCCGGACCCGGGCCCGACCCGGCCAGGCCGGTTCGCCAAATGTGAGACCCGAGCCCGGACCCGCCCTATCCCCCGGGCCTAGGCCCGACCCGTACCCGGATCCGAGAACCGGCCGATCCTGGTCCCGCACAGTAGCGGGCCGGGCTGGTCCACAGGCCGTGTGGCCCGACCCGAGTCCACCACTAGTCCCTCAGTCATCCATGAAATTAAAATTTCAGACCTGTATTTCTGAAATTATAAATGTCACCCCTCAATTATCCAAAATGTTATAAATGTGGTTCTTTTGAGGGGTGAAACATACAATGTGGGTGAAAGTACATTTCACCACTTAAAGAACCACATTTATAACAATTTGGAAAATTGAGAGATGACATTTACAATCTCAAAAATACAGATCTGAGATTTTAATTTCGTGAATAACTGAGGGAACATATATGTGATTTTCCCTATATTTTTTAAATTTTGTTTTTCTAATTTATCCCCCCCCCCTCCATCCCCAAACACTCCCAAACCACCCAATCCATTCGGGAAAAAATCATTTTGGGCCCGGACCGGTCCTGGACCGATCCCGAAGCGGCCGGGCAAGTTCCAAAAGGGCTACAGTCTGTGACCTACCCCAAACACCACCCCCCCGGTTTAGGCCCAAGGCCTGGTCCCGGTCCCGGTGAACCAGGCCAGGCCAGTACCGCACAATGGCGGTCCGGGCCGGGTATTAGGCCGGTCTGACCAATACCAGTCCATCCCTAGATAACATTAGCCATTTATGCGAAATCTTTTGTTTAGGACAATGCCCACTCCGGTCAACACTTGGGGTGCACTGTGCACATGTCTATCAAGTAGGGATGGACTCGGGCCGAGTGGCCCGACCCGGAACCGGCCCGGGATCGGTACTGTTCCGCCTCGGCCCGACCCGGTGGCTCGGTCAGTGACCGGTCCGGGTAGGCCCGGTCCGTGGGTTTTCCGGTCCGGGCTCGGGTCACCCAAAACAAGGCCCGACCCAGCCGGGCCCGAGGCCGGTTCGGGCCAAAAACTATTTTTTTTTTCAATTTTTTTTAAATTTTCGGGTTGGGCTGGGTATTTTGGGCCATTTGGAGTGGTTTGAGGGGTTGGGGGTGGGAGGGGGATTAATTAGGAAGAGGAAAACAAAAAAAAATATAATGGGCCCGGCCCGGCCTGGCCCGGACCCGGTGGTTACCCGGACCGGTCCCGGGTCCACCATTTCTGATCCGCCGGCCCGCCCGGGCCTAGGCCCCGGCCCGGACCCGAGTCCATCCCTACTATCAAGCGCTCCGACCCTTCCATGGAAGGAGTCCTTGTGCTTTTGGACTGAAGTTTTTACTACTTTTATTCCTGGACCATTAAATTCAACTATGAGAATTTCCACTTTCGATCATTCTTTTTAGAGAGAATTTCCCAAATGGGACTAAAACTTGGTTAAAACTCCAAAGTGGGACATTAAGTTTTTTATTACCTAAATAGGACTTTTAATTACCGATCGGACAAAATTGCCCTTTCTTAGTTCCTGCTGCAACAATTCACTGGGTGCGATGAAGGTCGTTTGCGAGTTGCGATGCACGGATGAACGGCTCCCCAGGTAAGTTTCTTCCGATCTTTTTCTTGTACTCATCTCTTAATTTCTTCTCAAGCTCCCTTGTTTTCTCCTTCTACAAGTCTTCTATTTTCTTCTTCTTTTGGATTTCCAAGTTTTTATAATCATGAGTAATTTATTTTTAAAAGATTCATATTATTGTTCTAATCACTTCAATCTGAAAAATGACATAGTTGATCTTTAATTGAACACTGATTTGTAATAATGTCACTTTCATGACATTACATTTGCTAAGGTGACAATTTCAAAGAAGAAAATGACATTTCCAGAGTAATAATGTCACTTTCATGACATTTTCAAATAAAAAGTGACATTTTCATATTGTCATCCTAGTAAATAAACTGTCACAAACGTGACATTTTTTCCAAATAACCAATATTTTGACATTCTCGGATTATAAAAGTGACATTTTACTGAATAAATAAATTCAAATTCAAAAAGTCCAAATTAATAAATAAAATTCAAATCCAAAAAAATTAAAGAAGAGAACAGAGGACCAAAAATTTGAAGAGGATTAGAAGAAAAGAAGAAGAAGAAGAAGAAGAAGAGGTGGAAGAAGAAGAAAGGAGGGGGAGGAGGATACCTATGGTCGATGGCGGAGCTACGGTGCGACGCCATAGCGGATGGCGGAGATGCAGTCCACAGGAGGAAAAGATGTGCACAGCTGCTAAATTCCAGTCGATGGCGAAGAAAATAGAAGACCTGTAGAAGAAGAAAATAGAAGACCTGCGAGAATGCACCGACAAGTGCAGAGAGCTATTTGGGGAAAATGTGATTTAGGGATTAGGGGCAAAAAGGTAATGTGGAGTCCCATTTAGGAAATTTAAAACTTGAAGTCCTATTTTGGAGTTTTAACCATGTTTTAGTCCCATTTAATATAATTTCTTTTCTTTTTATTAACGGTTATTCTAAACTCTGTAAATATCCCTAGATTCTATAGAAAGCACAATCATGATTGAACACACGAAGTCACGAATCAATTTTCCTTTCTAAATTCTCTGTTTAAAGATTAAATCCCTTTCCCTAGTCCCTACCATTACTGCATTAATGCATTATTAAATTTATTATGGACATACTATGGAAGGACTTGTGAAGTTATCCTTCCTATCAAACCAACATTTGCAACATTAACCCACCAGATACAAATTTAGGTTCCGACCGACTTGCAATCAAAGAAACAAAACAACAAAAGAATAGCAATTAAGGACTGCAACCAGCCTATTATATAGCCGGATATTGGTTGTGGTTCACAGGAGCCAATATTGATCAAGTCCCTTGGAAAAACACTGACTCTTTCCAGTGTGGAACCCTGTCCACATTTAAATATGATATTTACTTCAAGGTTGAATACAGAAAACACAATGAAGGTTGGACTTGCTTAAAACTAAAGCATGAGACTGTATGGAGAAATCTGAGCTAACTAATGAGACATGATCGAAAAATATACATAAAAACCATATAAGAGTATCTAATATCACATACATCGATCCAACTACATAAAATTGTCTGTTGCGCCACTGGCGTTTGTCTTATCCCTTGTGAAAATATCTGCACAAGAACATCATGTCTTACATGACAGTGTCAAGATTAAAGCCATAATATATTACGCCGGACTTGTAAAAATCAAGAGTACCTGCAACTAAAATAAAAAAATGTAGTATGTTTCAAATTCTAAACATAGTACCCCTTCGCTCGAAATATTTGCCCCACTTTCCTACTACGGAAAATATCATCATTACCATAAGTACACAAGCACCGTTATTTTTTCATCTTCTATTTTTTAACCTTTTTACCAATTCTCTTCTCCTATTCACTACCCCAGCAATTTTCCTCTTCAAAGGTCGAAAACCTAATAGATCAACTCATAAAAAACAAAGGGGCATATCAGATATGAAACAAAGTGGCATGGAGGGAATACAAACCTTATATACAACTCTGTAGAATGTACTCACTCAATTCTTGGATAGATGGAAAGGATAATTAATGAAGAGAACTAGTACCTATTTATGCAGCACTTCCTTCAGGGAGTGTAATCAGGCGTGTACGTGAATCAAATAGCATATCTGTTCCGCAACTAACAAGAAGAAGAAATATATATTAACTTTACTGTATTTTTGTAGTTCTAAGGAAACATGTGGCTTAAAGTTTACAGGACACATATGAAATTTACTTGGAGCACTTCACATTGTTGCTGGAACCACCACTAGATACAGACAGTATAGTACCAAAAAATGAAGTGTTTTCTGTACCACAGTTTGGACAGGGACCCTGAAAATGAGAGTTTCACTCGTTGATTGCAAAAAAGGTACTATTAAAATTGGGTATACAGTTATTCGTAATGTGGTTTAAATTTCCCTTCACTTCTAACAGTAGTGTGAAGATAAGATAATACCTTCAATATAAGGAAATCTTTAACAATGAATCCTGTGATTGAGAATGACAGCCACAGAATTAAAGGCAAAGCTGCAAACCATGTAAAGATAAATCCAAAAGGTTCTGGAAGCTGCAACAAAAGAGTAACTTTTTAAAAAAAGAAACCAATGCATCAGTTCAAGGGGAAGGAGTGCAAGTGATAGTAAAAAAAGGAAAAAATGACTTAAATTAAAACGGTGTGTCAAATATTTGCTATCTACTAAAATTAATCTCATTTTTAAAAAATATTAATTGACCGACAAATAATTTCAATATATACCGAAACAACACTATCATTTTTTTATAAGAAATTCAGATACTAGGCTGACATAAATAATTCCATTAGTTGTCTATAGAATAAAATAGTAATACTATTTGTAATTTGTCATATACCAAAACTAAGAAGCTGTTCTATTCGTCTTATTCTTATTACTTATTGCTTATTCTTATTTTATTCAGATCAAATCAGAAAAATTCATATCAGATCAGATAAAAAAGATTAGGATCATCAGAAGCATTCAAACCAGATCAGAAACATTCAGATCACATTAGAAACATTCAGATCGGATCATAAAACTTCAGACATGAATTATCCCTTTTATTATTAAAATAATAATAATAATTATCATTATTCTGGTTATTATAATTCTAACCTTGGAATCTAGAAATTATTATTAAAATAATAATAATAATAATTATCATTATTCTGGTTATTATAATTCTAACCTTGGAATCTAGAAACAGCTCCGACGATAACGTCGGCACTCGGCACTTTAACCAAATTTCTATTATTATAGATTGCTTCTATTATTTTTAGCATTCAAATAGCTCAGATATTAAAATTGTAATTTCTAAGTTTAGGATTATTTTAGTCTCTATCCAATATTCCAATAGTTGGTATTATTTAAATCAGTTTCCAAAAAAAGAAATACAGCATGAGGATATAGTAGAAAGAAACACAATTTGAGTCAAAAGTACAGAAATACCTCCAAAAGGTAAGTGATTTCAAATCCAGTCAAGTCATCAAGGAAGAAAAACCTAGCATGGCATAGAATAAGATCAAATTTTACTGAAATGAATTATTATTAGTAGATTTTTTAAAAAAGAAATTAGACAGAAACTGACTTGTAATAAGTAAAAATAAGAGAACAAAATAAAGACTCACAATCCAAGGGCCACAACAGCAGCAGGGACATTAAGTAAGAACATTTTCAGATAATCAACTGAAAGGTCACTGTAAACCTGCAGAAAGTAATATCAGTGGATTAAAAGAGCCCCTTTCACACTCAAGGACTGAAAACAAGATGTTGAATCAATACTACAGAAAATAAATAATTACAAACCTTCTTACTGCGAAGACTGCAACGTGGACCCTCAACCACAATAGCACTACCATCCATCTTTAAGGCAAAAAAAGATGGCAAGTTAGAATGGTCTTAAAGGAATAAAATCCTAAAGTGGTAAAACTAGATAAAATTTTATATTCAAGTTATACGAGCGCATCTTCTTTAAATACAACATTATGTTAGTGATATGGTTCTTTTTCATTCGAACTATCATCCCAGACTACAAAAAAGGGTCATCGTGTAATGATTTCAGGTTATTTCCTAGAATTTCTCAACGATAATCTAACTTTTCACAGCACCTTAAGTTTCATCTTTAGTTTGTCAAACACCTCATCTGACACAATTGGTTTCCCAGCAATATATGCCATAGAAGCTTCCAAAAATCTCTGTTCATCAGCACCTGCAATACGGATAGCATAAAGTTACTATTAAATATTCTACAGAAATTGCCCTAAATAGGAGTAAAAACACTTTGAAATTCCAAAATAGGAGTATCATGTTTTTTATTCCTTGAATAGGAGTAATCTGCCAAGTTTAGAAAAAAATGCCATGTTTAAAGCCTAGCAATGCCAAACTTGGCAGAAATTTACTCCTATTCAGGGAATAAAAAACATGATACTCCTATTTTGGAATTTCAAAGCATTTTTACTCCTATTTAGGGAATTCTCTCTATATTCTATGATCTTTAATTCTCTATGTAACACTATAAAAAGTATAGAACAAATAAAAAAGAAAGACATTGTCTTGCATACTTAGCATGACAACACTGCTTCCTTCCCACATTAACTCTTCCTTCAGGTTATCAAATTCTTCATTTGACATGATTGCCTTCCCTTCATAATAGAATGCCTATAGCATTGCGGCAATGACAAAATCAAATAATTTAAAGAACGAAACATAAGGAAGTTTTTAGAAAAAATAAAAAATTTAAATTCTACTTTTACTCTTGACTGTTGACACAAGACCACACAACTTTGTTAATGGAGAATGAAAAACATATACTGAAGTAAAACAAAGAATGCACTAAAGATACTTGTAATGCTTGAAGAAATTCTTGTTCCATCTCGCCCAGAGACTTCTTCTCCTTCCTATTGATGCTGCAATAGGGTAAGATCTTACTGTCATCTAATTCATCTTCTTGGACCTGACCTGGGGCAAAAAGGCTAATCTTACTGGTTGCGTTTGTGAAATTTAGTGATACATCTAAAACAGAAACATATCATCTCATTGTAATCTCAGGTTCTAATAATTGTTTTTCACTGATTGGTCTTCTGCCACTTCTTAAACAAAATGTAATGTTTAGTAGAGCTTGTTGATCCCTTTTCTATGATTATACATCAATATATCTACTTTATAGATGTTGTTCAAACTTCAAAGATAATAATTACAGATTGGTTATGGATTAATTACAACCGATAAGATAAAGCACATAGTTGCAATAACAATACTGGAAGCCTGTGCTGTGAGAAATAATCGCTAAAATTATTCAGAACCAGTAAGGTTGTAAAGTACCAAAAAAACACATTAAGACTACTAAGACTTACGGCACTTCTCACTCATCTAGCAGAGGATTTAGGAACTTTTCTTAGCGTAGGCTTCATTTAAATAATACTTAAGAATGTCTACTATACAATTTCAATTTTTACAATACTTCAAAATTTAACAATAGATATATAATAATATAATACATTAATAATAGAAAAAAGGAGTAGGGACTTGGGTCCACTAGGGCCTTAATAGATCCTTCCCGCACTCATCCAAATCCCTAACTACTTCACATATAAGGAACCAGAAAAATAACTCTCAGTTGTAGAAAGACTTAACCTCAACTATAAGTAGGCATTTGTGGTCTGTGGACATGTAATATTGATAGTGGAAATATATAGAATACCATTGATTGACATAAATTAAAAAATGTCTATAATACGGAGTATTTATTAAAATTCTGAATCGAATACATCTAAGGTTTTGTAAATATTTATTATATTTGTTAGATTCAGTTTTGCTAAAATTTAGGCCTTAAATAAATTTGTACTACGTATTACAATGTGTTGATGGTGTCAACATCATAGAGTAAAATACGCTAAATTATTATGAAAAATGAAATAGATGTTAATATTGATGGTTGCATGTGTTTAATTGATAAACAACTAATATGGGTATTGTTTATCATGAAGTGTAGCCTAAACATAACAATACAATATTTTTCATGTGCTCTAAGGCTCAAATAACAACTGATGAAATGTTTCATAAATCTTTAAACCAAATAACAGAATATTAAACTCCTCAAAGATATTAAAACAGTACAAGAACACAAAATTACATATAATTAAAATTATTAATAAAACAAATATAAAATTAAATTAGTAAATGTAATAATATTGATGGAAAGTATACCAAGAAATAATGACAAATACTCCCAATAATGACAATATTGTCCAAAATAAAGGTAGTGGACAAAAATATGACCTTTTATGTCGACAACTAATCAAGCATTGTCTAGATGTAAACATTGTGGTTGACATTGTTCAGAAAAACTTCCCAAAAACACATAGGACCGTGGAAAGAAAGAGAGCAAAATGTCATAAATTTAGCACCGTGCAAACTGTAGCATTGGAACAATTCTCAACAATGTCAACCAGTAAGCTTACTAAGTGTTGCTCGGTTAATACCTCATGATGTAAACATGTCATTAGTCTTTAACAGCTTTTAAAAGTGTATTAATATTTTGCTTCCATACACCCTTCTAAACTTTAAGACATAACAAGTTCAAAAATGATGCTTCCATACACCCCTCTAAACTTTAGGACATAACAAGTTCAATTTCTCAAGTTCATAACGAAAATGATCCCATTTCTTAAATGTTAAAACGCCCCAAGTATAAAAAAAAGTTAGTCCGATGAATAGCATCGTTGATATCGCCAATTGCAAGTTCATTCGATCAATGTTTGGTCGCAATCGTATCACTGATGGTAAATTATACATCGTACGTAGTATGTTCTATGATCCTCAACTCTCCTTATTTAACTCATATACAAGTGCGAATTCCGTTTCTCTCATTCGTTTCTCGTCAAATAAATATTAATGATGTACTACGTATAAGAAAATACCATTAAAAACAGAATTTTTCTTTAACACCAACAGCTACCTGACTGATCGACAGTAGCCTTAGGAAAGAGAGCCAAAAACCTCCCACCAACGAAGAGCTTACTTCCAGCATAATCGATCAACTGGAGCCTAGAAGCAGAGGGGCATGAACCTAGAGACGAATAAAGGAAAGGTCTTTTAAACGATGCATGTGGAAATCGTGGAACCGTAAGAGGGTAGATAGGTCTAGAAGCCATTAGCGGCAATGAAGATACTGGTCTGATAGGTTTTGATTGTTGAGGTGACAGAGATATGGCGGCAGAAGTATAGAAAAAGCAGGCATTTGGGCAATGGGTAGAGAAATTTGATATTTTGGAATTGCTCAAAGGCCGCGAAAGAGATAAGACAATGTTTAGTGTGTGGAGGAGATGGAAGGATGAGTCGAGAATACTCCCTCCCTCCCTAAAAGGATAGCCAAGTTTGACCGGCACGTAGAATAATAAAGTAAAAACTGTGTAGTAGAGATTTGTGCAGAGGAGAGAGAAATAACAGAAACCACAAATTGATTGACAAATAGAGAAAGTGGCAAAGTTTTTGGGACAACCAAAAAAGGAAAGTTGGCAAAGTTATAAGGGACGGAGGGAGTATACTGTTAGAAGGATAGTGTTATTAGCGTAAGAAACAGAATTAAAATGAGGAAAGTGTCACTTTGATACATCAAATTGTAAACGAGGGAGTAAAAAGTACATCATTATGCAATTGGGATTCAGAGGTGCATTAAATTGCCAAAACAGTGTTAATTTAGTCCATCGAGCTATTAGAGAGTTTAAAATGCCTAGGTGGCAAGTATTAGCCATATGTGTGGTAAACGGTGGCGTCGAAGTCAGCTACAACCCAAGAATCCAAAAAAAGCTGAGCTCATTTGCAACTAATTTCTCCGTGACGCAAAATTGCTACTGCCAAATCGAACAAGGTAGTGGAAGAAACCTTGACAGCCTTAGAGGAGCTAGCTCTGAAGGCAGAATTGAGTTGAACCCTTGTTCTTGAGTGAAGGAGGCGGCAAATCTCCTTGAAGTGACCGTGCACCTCAGGAATATCATGAATTGAAGGTTCTAGAGGACTTTTGCCCACCGTTTTCGAGCCGTTAAGAAAGACCTTCAAGGAGGAAGCCACACAAACGTCATCCTTGGCAGTCGAACCATCTCCAGAGTCAATCAAATCGAAAGCGGATATGTCCGCACTCAAGGTCTCGCAGGACAAAACAGCAACCGCATTGGATTTCCATTTCCGTAACTTTGAGGAAGAAATAACCACCGCAGCTTCCTCGGCAGACGAGATCTTCTCGAACGGCGAATTCATCCTCCCGCTTCAGCAAAGGGATCTGCAGGCTCCGAAAGATAAGAAGGTGATGAAGAGCCCGCTTATACGGCTAATACTTGCCACCTAGGCATTTTAAACTCCCTAGTAGCCCGATGGACTAAATTAACACTGTTTTGGTAATTTAATGTACCTCTGGATCCCGATTGCACAATGATGTACTCTTTACTCCCCCGCTTACAACTTGATGTACCAAACTGACACTTTCCTCGAATTAAAATAGAACAAAAAGAGGCAGAAATTTTAAAGAGCCCGTGACATGCTCATTAACGAGCACGTTGGTCTCTCGCACGCCCAAAAAATAGGGAGTTGGATAATAAAAAGTTAAAAATTGTGGAGTCTTGAGTCTTCCGCTCAAAATTCAGGATAGCAACTGGATAACAAACGTACATGACTCGTGTTAGTGACTTACTGCTACATTATTTTTTAAAATTACATGAATGGAATTTGTTTTCAAAAAATTACAAATTAATTGCTTAAGATATTAAAAGAATTTTTTTCCTTAAATATTATTTTACGGACAAAGATATTACTATATTGGTCTATTATTTTTTAAATGTATTTTATAGTTTGTTGCATGATGGTGATGCGTTTTTGCTGCTTATTACTAGTAACTTTTGTTTTTATATAATCTAAAAATTTTATTGATGGAATTCCGATGGTGGAGGTGGCCGGAAAACCGAGTGACATTGAGTATGAATTCGAGTAACAACAAGTTTGCATAGAGAATTTCGGATCTCTTTCAACAAGTTGGAAGTTGATATTGGTACAAAACTGTAATACTTGGGCAACAAGTATAAAAGATGTCATTCTAAGGAGATCGCGACACATGCAATATTTGGCCAACTTGCCGAATATGTTAGTCTAATTACATGGTAACACGTGTGGAGCCTGATTGGTGAGATGATACAAACAGCTGACCGATTGGTGCGGCGCTAACTAACTTAATTCCCTTCGTTCTGGACTCTGTAAGGGAGTGACACGTGTATGCCTAGAACCTTATGTGAATAAGTGTCTGGGTGATATCAGCCCTAGATAGCTGTTGTGTTGATGACGTCATTATTGTTGTGCATGCGAAACTTGAATCTTGGAAATGGTTAAGTCCATAAACTTCCTCGAGGTCATGGGCTCTGTTGGATTTAAGCTCGAGAATAATGTATTCAGCAAAGGAGAAGTTGATCTCAGTTTGCTTAATTGATTCTCCTTTTAGCTCTTTAACTCTACAGGCGGTTTAATTGACTCGAAGTTCACCTATAGTGTTGACTTTGGCGTAGACCCAAAACATGTGGCGAGCTCGAGCTCCGCTGCAGTTTTGGGCTTACCTCGATAATCTGAGGGTTGACTTCGGAGCCGAGCTCGAGGGACATGGGCTTGGGCTCGGATGCGGATATGCACTTATCTCGATGATCATGAACTCATTCAGGGAGCCGATCTTGGCGGCACGGGCTCTGGCTCCACGATTATAGGGATGGACCGGTTCCGGTTCGGGCCCGGCCAGGCCTCGGTTCATTAAGGGGAGGCCCGGAACCGGCCCGGGTAACCCCCGGGTCCGGGCCGGGCCTCAGTTCTATTTTTTTTTTTTTGCTTTTCCAAGTTAACCCCAACCCTCCCCCTCACCCCCAAACCAACCCTAACCACCTCAAATGGCCCAAAATACCCAGCCCAACCCAAAAACTTAAAAAAAACAATCAAAAAAAAATATAAATTGGCCCGGCCCGGGCCCGAACCGGCCGGACCGGTTCACCTTTTGAAGGGCCCGAGCCCGAACCGCCATCCCACCGGGCCGGGTGGCCCGAACCGGCCAACCAATCGGTTCACCGGCCCGGTCCGGGCCCGCACGGTAGCGGGCCGGTCCGGTTCCGGGCCGGTTGGCCCGGCCCAAGTCCACCCCTACGCGATTAGTTAGTTGGTACTTAGTGATTTCAGGAAATTGTTCACCCATAAATGTTTATACTCCTCGGGTATATGTGAATATACTCCATTTTTATTGACGAAATAAATAAATGTTCATCTCAAATTTTCAACTGCACGGAATCGATATTATGTACCAATCTCGAACCAGTCGAGAAAGGAATGACATGTATTTGCACATTTAATAGAAAAAATTTCATTAATACTACTCTTTTATTTGATGAACAAAAATATTACTAAATAACTCTTGGTGATTATAATTGTGTTCAAATTTACATCGTAGTAATTGTATGTAACTGCGATGTAAACTTTGAGCACAATTATATTAACTAATACTACCTCCGTCCCAAAATTAACTTCCCATTTCGGATTACGATGCTTGACCGACGATAAAGCAAATCGATCCATGTTCATACTCAGACTACTTTTAGTAAATAAAATTTACATATTGAGAAACTACATTAAAACTGCTACAAAGGCCGATAAAAAATAAAAATTTGATAAAAATTTGATATATAAAACATAAGATTAAGAGTAAATTAAGTTGACTATATGAATAGTGATTGTGAGGTTCATTTTGGGACGGAGGGAGTAGTTACTAAGTATTCCCCCGTCCTAAGCAAGTTCGTCAAATTAACTTTTCTTGGTCAATCATAATCAACTTTGATTAATGATATTTTTAATATGAAATTATTTTGAATATGAAAATTATATCAAAATGTTCCTTATTCAAAATATTTTCACAAATATGATAATTAAAATCATTGCCCAAAATTTGTCAGCATTGATAAAAAAAATTAATATGACGAACCTTTTTCGGAACGGAGATAGTAATATTTATGTCCATGACTTTTTTATTATACGTAGTAATATTTAAGGAAAAAAACTCTTAACATTTTAGGCAATCAATTTGTAAGTTTACATTCCATCCATATAATTTTGTTTTGAAAGAAATTATATTCATATAATTTTAAAAACAATGTAGCAGTAGGCCACTAACATAACACGTGTCATGTACGTATGCTATACATACGTAGTACGGAGTATATGTTAGCTTAGATGATTTATGAATTTTGAGATCTCACACCAAACAATGTAGGAGTACTTTTTATTATCCTACTCCGTATTTTTTGGGCGTGCGAGAGACCAACTTGCTCGTTAATGAGCCTGTCACGGCCCTTTAAAATTTCTGCAAAAAAAGGTGGTCACTTCGTACAAATAGAATAAAAAAGTAAAGTAGGTTTTTATAGAACTAATTATTTGTGTGTTGGACAAATATACTTTGTTGCTATTGAAATATTTAAATTCATAATAAAATAATAAAAAAATAATAAAGATATTTAAATAATAATTAAAAATATGAAAAAAATTAAAAAAAATTAAAAAAAAAAGCAAAAGAAAAATTATCGCCGTCCCAGCGCCACCACCTCCAGTCACCAGAGGAAAGAATGTCACATCCAATACGAAAGTCATATTTATGGCAGATTCAATGAAAATTTTAGCATTCTCAAAGAGTAATATGCCATTTTTGGCATTTTAAGAAAAAAATGTCAGTTTTTCAGAAAAAATGACATTTTTTACACCGGTCGGAGGTGGTGGTGCAGATAGGCCGTACAAGTGGTGTGAAAGGCATTAGGAGTGGATTTTTTTTAATGTTTTATAAAAAAACTAAAAAACGCTAAAAAAATAATCTCTGCCTCTCCCGCCCCAGCACCACCATCTCCGGTCACTCTGGAAAAAAACTTCCACATGCATTAGGAGTGCCATATTTATGACATATAGTATTTAATGAAAATTTTGGCATTCTCAAAGCATCATATGTCATTTTTTGGCATTTTCAGAAAAAATGGTATTTTTTTACACCGGTCGGAGGTGGTGGTACAGGGAGGGAGGCAGTACAGGCGGTGGGAAAGGCATCCATATTTTTAAATTTTTTTATGGAGTTTTTACTTTTTTATTATTTTTTTAAAAAAAATTATTTTTTTAATTTTTAATTTTATAAATATTTTATAAATATTGTTTTAATATTTTATTATTTTTCTACGATATTTTTAATTTTTTTTGAATTTATTTTGAATTAAACATTTAATTATGACTTTTGACTACCTTTTAATCGTATTTAAAGGA